AAAATGATGTGACTGCACTTTCTCTTAATGGAATATCTTCAAAGGTACTAATACCCAGTGTTCGCCTCTTTTTGTACTGGGGGGCGGAAATTAGATTCCACACTTGACACCCCCATTTCGGACAAAACATTTATTCCTACTCACTATACATATACTAAATACAGAAAAACTAAAACAATTATACAGCGCCCTCTCTCGGCGGGCAGTGGATGTCATAATACACTGAGCCCCCATGACTCCGTCATCAACTTAACTAGAAATTAAACAAACTGAAATACAGTCAAAAGTCGTTAATTCGGACACGCATAATCCGGACCTCAAAGCTACAAACTTTCTGCGCATGCGTCGCGTTCACGTTTACGAGAGCGCGTAAGACCCTTACGGCTGCGAATATGTTTGTGCGCATGCGCGTTTAATGTGTAACGGAGTTATACGCTAAGCTAAAGTTATCTAATTCAGTTAATGCTGCTGATTGCGTTGTTCCTTAATCTTCGAATTGGATCCGGCTTATTATTTTTTGCAGACTGTTAGAGCAATTTTATAAAAGTAAGCTTGAACTTTCGATTATGTCAAATAGAATTTCCGATATATATTACTACAAAGCGAAAGTATATGTTGAAATCCGAAATCTGTTTATCAATTTCACGCTGTTCTCCGGCAGAGGGGGGGGCAGAAACGTCATTATTAGATTATGATAGATTAGAAAGATTATGTCAATAGAATTTCCGATATATTTTACTAATATGTAATTTGTATCTACAAAGCGAAAGTATGTTTTGAAATCCGAAATCTGTTTATCAATTTCACCACGGATTGGAAGTTGATCTGTCAGCACTATCCTTATCTTCAGGGCAGATGTTTTATTTTATTTGGTTTATAATTCCGTACTAAGTGTAGTATTTCATCTCGATATACTCCGCCTTTGATATTGATTTAAATCAAGTCCTCGTCATTATAATTCGCTTCCGATAGTGAAGAAAGTGACCCAGAGGTTATTGAAAACGAAAACATTTCGATTGACAAATTAGTCGGTATTCTCAACACAGCAATTATAGGACTTGAACAGCGGAACTTTGTAACTAAACAAGAAATTATGTGTTTAATAGAATTAAAGAGAAAGTATTATCACATGAAACGAAGCAAATTACATTGAAGGAAATGTTTAATAAAGTAAAACAAATAAATATTAAGCTTTTTCTTTTTGTAAATTTTGATACCCTTAGATCATAATTGTTCTTTATTTATAAATTACGGTTTCATATTTTTAATTTTGTAATTTCTGCATGCCATCTTACGAGATTTAAACTGATGATCTATAATCCGGAAAAATCGATAATCCGGAATCGCCGAAGTCCCGACGAGTCCGGATTAACGACTTTTGACTGTATAAATGTAAAACATAAAATTAAACAAACTGAAATATAAATGTAAAACATAAAATTAAACAAACTTTAAATATAACACATTAAATACATGAAATAAACAAACATTCTCTCTTTCATATAAAGCTAATTTTAAATTTAAATTAGCTTTATACGAATGAGAGAATATTTGTTAAATTGAAATTTCTTCCTTGCAGCAATGGCATAAGAGAATTATTTATTTTTAATTTAACTTTACTATTAGTTTCTTATGAAACCGTTAAATAAATTAAATAAATAAATCAAATCAGTCAATCATCCACAGTTTTTCTAATTCTCTACTGTTCGACCTCAGTTTCCTCAAATTTAATCCACCCCTCATTGATACAGCATTTTGACAACAACTGAAATGACTCTCTCACACCACCTCCACCATAATATAAATCGTCTACATAAAGGTTTCTCAAACATTTTTCAGTTGTGACCACTTTTTATCACTGAGATTTTTTTCACGACTCCCAGGGCCCCATAATATTTACAAAAATTTTGTGGGACCACATAAGTATTGCGCAAATCCGACACACATGCGAGTGAAACTGTTAATTTTTTCACTTGTACTGTAATATAATTTTTCACTAGTACTGTAATATACTATTGTATATTACAGCAGAAGTTTTAGAACATTAATTTCTAATTTTAAGACAGAACAATGTGAAAATTTGAAATAAGTAACAGAAGAAATGATAGCGTCACGTGCAAAGCAAGAAAAATGAACGTTTCTATTATAAAAAGAATGCGTCGAAACGTTTTCATTTTGTTCTTCGTCTGTATTGCCTCATCTTTATTTTCTGATACATTGTATAAAAATATTTGGTAATTGTCAAATTATTATAATAAGTTAAAGAAATATCAAAACTGCTAAAATTTTTGGCGACCCCCTGCTGCAGGTTCCGCGACCCACAGTTTAAGAAACCCTAGTCTACGTAAACTGATGATAATAATAGGAGTCACTGTGATTGAATCAACACAATGATCTCATTCTTAGTTCTCTGCAATTGTCTTCACAAGATTCTAGTGTCCTTTAATATAAAAATAGGTCTCAAAGATCATATTCAGACTCAATTTTGTAGGAGACTATGCACGAACACTTTCTTTTCTTCCAAAAGAGAAAACCCCACACAGAATGGAAAGATATTGCTTCGAAAGCGGAAAACTTTCTAAAGATTGATGGCTAATTGAAAAATATAATAATATGTTTTGTTTTTGATGGGTAACTTTTGGAAAGATTTTAGGGCAAACTAAGTCAAGATTAAGATAAAAAAACACGTCGAACAAGCATTAAATTTAGAAGTCAAACAACAAAAATCAGCGTTATATTTGCAAATTTTCACAGAAATTCATACTTAGTCATTACTTTGATTTAGTGAAATGATGCAGTAGCATCAGAACAGTATTGTTAATCTTTCTTTCTTCTTCGGCAATGCATAGTACAATAAACGTTCACACAGTTAATTAAACTGTCAATTTATGCTAGCATGTTGGTAACAGAGTAAGCATAGCTACCTTATTACTGTCTGCCTATGAGAAGAATAGCTACCGCCAGCACAGGGCTAGTATATTTTGAATAGGGACAAACCAAATGTTGCCATTTCATCTTTAAAAGTGCCAAGATGGCAAAATGAAAAGTAAATCTTCAAGACACCTCTATAGAAAATGGATCAAGGCTCGTTTCTACAGCAACAGAGAGCTGCAGACTAACTGGTGAGAGCTTTCCTTACGATAGACAGACAGCAATATGTGGCTCCACAAGTCCTCATACCGATAATCATTTGTTAGATAGAAATGATTTATAAGAACACATATTTAAGAATTGTATTATGTAGTTATCACTGTACTAAACTATTTTGAAAGGTGCATCACATTCTTGCTTAATTGTTAACATATATAATCATTTACCACAGAGATTGCATAGGCATTGATCTCAAATTGTCAATAAGCATAGTACCTAAGTGAAAGTGTATGTTTTGCCTGTAGCAGTTCTAGAGACATTAGGATTTTTTGGAAGCAGGAGACTTTAAAAACGAGCAATGCGTTCACCGGGAATCGAACCACGGAGCTCTGGAATACGCGCCCAGTGTGCAGACCACCACACTATGAAGGCGGGAGAAATACCTTATACAGTTGCTGGTGACCTCTGTAAAATTTTGTATAAGACATTCATTCTATTGGGATGGCAAAACAAATTATGCTCAAGATTTCCTTAAATTGGAAGCTGTGTTGATGATCACAATATTTACAAGATGATGATAGTACTTTACAGTAAGGCAGTCATTGTGACACAAGTGGTTCTAGGCATTTGCTGATCAGTCCATATCCAACTAAACAAAACAAAATGGAAAAAAAAAAAAAAAATCCCTCCTCAACTCAGTTCATCTTTTTAAACATGATTACCATAGCACAAAGTTCTCAATTTACGAGTAGAGAAACGTCAGAAACTCTTAGCAATGCCTTTTTCCACTCAAGCTTTAAAACAACGATGATAAGAAAACAACATATGGGAGATATTTTGAAGAAGCTCAGCATTTATTACATATGACAAACAATTTCAACTATAACCATGTCTGTATCAAAACAACGCATTCTATAATAGATTTCATATTCGATGATGCATACCTCATAATTAATTCATATCAACACATACTAGGTTGGCAGATCATAGTATGATGTTGCATAGCTTTGCACTTAGCCATTTCTCCTGTCTACCTTAATAATAGGGTGATAACAGATAACTTCCATAATTAATTGTGGAGCAGTTGCAACCGCTTTTAATCAATAAATCAGCTACATTTTATTGGATATAGCTCTATAACCTGCAGAATGATTCATTCCAAAACGAATCAGATGTGTGCATATTTTCTTTTGTACCCTCCTTATGATGTATATGTTACGATGAAACACCAAAATCTGGAGAATGTCGACTTTCCCCGGTGAATGTCAACATTCACAAAGTCGCTTGGTGTATGTCTGAAATATTTTCCAAATACTCTAATTTCTGACTTACACCGGTCAATGTCGACATTCACCATGTACTAATGGTGAATGCTGAACATATAAGAATGTTATATTTCCTTCTCTGTAATTCATTCGCGAAAAAACGTACTTGAGACTCAGAATAAGAACTAAAGAACATAAGAACTTAAAACACACAGTACATTCAAAATGAGAAAGGAAAATAATAGAAGTTATAAACTTACCAAATTATGTGATTCAAATCTTATTTATTGCAACGACTTAAACTATTATGACACTTTGAATTGCACAAGAGGCCCTTGCTTTTACAATTGCATTATTTGTGGAACACTTCCTTTTGGAATGGCAGCATGTACATAGTGGTATATACCCCTCTCTTTTCGACCTACACCAGAGCATATCTGTGATTGTCGACATACACCGGTGAGGGTCCGAGTGTAAAGAAATATTCTATCTTTCACCGACGTATTTGGTGAATGTTGACATTCTCCAATTTCGGACTTTCACGGCAACAAATACAAAAATGTAATCCAAACCAATTGAAAAATTCCGAAAAAAGAGATGATATTTTTCTTTATAGTAACACTCATTGTATGGAACACATTTCAGATCTTGGTTTCCTATATTTGGGAGAATCTTTGGTTTTAAATGTTCGGAGTTACATCAGCTTACCACGAGAGTCGATGTTTTTCCAGTGGTATTTTGAAGATGGAGAGTACAGTAATCTGCCCAGCAACATGAAATGCGGGAGCTCTTGTGCAACGTTAATAATCTCTGAATTACGTAAGGAAGAAGAAGGCATCTTGTCGTGTGCCGTTTATACATCATCGGGTTTCTTCGCCACGAAACAAAGATTTCTCATTAAGGATATTAATAAGAGTAAGTTTATATCATGCATTTTACCCCTTCACTTATATCATCTGATTATTTAAAAAATTATAACTGCTTCTTTTTGATGGTGCCTGTTTTCTCTCAAAGAGAGAAAAAATAAAGAAAAGTAACGAAAATAAAATCCAACAATTGAAATGCAAAAATGTTAAAGCAAATAAAAAAGGCATTCAGTTAAGTTTTAAACTTAATACAGTTGTTTGAAATGTGATAATAGTGACACATCACATAATCAGCTTGGATACTGAGTGCTTCCCTCATGATACATCCTTAATCCCTTACGTGTATTAGAATTATTCATATGAACCCAGATTTTAGATAACAATGATTAGTGTTAAATCAGGGAAGAATAAAGCCATGTGAATAGGAAATAACGTGAGATGATGTGGCCATCAATATGATCTTAAAGTAATTATTTCACATTTGTACCATGTGACAGAACATGGTCCTTTACCCAAATGACATTTTACAAAGTCCAGAATTCAAGAATGTTCTGTACAGCAGCGAAGCATGATCACAGAATGACTGTAATGTTAGCATTTTTGGGAGGAAAACACCCATTAACTAAATGTACAGCATCACAACTATTCTGTGATGCGGTGCATTTCGCTATTGGGCGTTTTCCGCTGTGATGCTGTGCATTTAGGTAGTGAATGTTTTCCTATAAAACTATGGACCCAGGAGGAAATCAGCCAGCATTCCAACTTATAAAATAACTTTGGCATCATATAGGGTTATCAACAGAAAGTTGTCAGTCATCAGAATTGAAGCTGCATCTATAAACAACAATCCTTTTGTTTAGCAGGCTTAGTTAAAACTCTCTGAGCACCATAGGTTTTTGAATCTGTTATAAAAACCTGTATTTAAACAACCTTTAAATTTGCACATTCACTCAGACGGTTAAAGTGAAATAAATGTGTTTCATCAATTCAAATTGAAAATTATCACTTCTTTATGCACTGGCTCAAGAACACTTCTTCAAAGATCTTCAGTGCTGTGGGATCCATCTTGTAACACTGGTACCCAAAAGTGGTAGAGAAACGGATTCAGATGACACATTGTTTACAGAAGTTTTAAGAAAATGGTTCTGCTTGATTGAGATCAGTTGGAACACGCTGCCTTCAAATATTTGTGGAATGAAAAGTATTAAAAAAAAATATTAGATCACTTATATGTGGAAATTTTGCCTTTTAGTATACACATTGAACAGTGCAAAATTTCTCCCAAATTGGTTGTTGAAATCTTAAATGTTCAGTGTTTCATTCTCCATTTACTTTAAAGTTGAAATGTTAAAATTCTACAACTCAATTATGCAAAATACTAAACCTTCAAATTAAAATGAAGCTATCGCTCATCGCAAAACTTTTGCCAAATCATATTTGACATTTGGCTACTAAAATTTTCACCATTACACAAATTAGTTCAAAGTTTGCAAATTAATATTCTGCAACTTAGCAACACAAATATCAAACTATTTTTATATATATAAAAAAAGAATTTCAAGCTTATGGAATTATATAGAACAGCCTTATTACGTTTTGCACCAGACAATAGTGGCTGACAGTAAGCTTGTTGTTCTGTAAGAGGGAGTTAAATTTGCTGCTTTTATTATTTTTTAATGGAGAAATGGTTTTCAATAAGCTTTAATTTACAATCGACATAAACACATCTGACACAGATGTTTTATTCCCTGTGTTCGGACAGTCAGAATCTTTTATGAAATTGCAAAACCGACTTATGTGGAAATTATAAAATATAATTTAAAATAATACTTTATGCAATATTTATTGGCCCAAAGCAACAAGAATTCTTTTCTCATAAAGTCTGTGTATTCTTATTAATGGTAAGCCTTACAGCAGCTAAACTGAGTTCTTGTTCAGATTTTATTAAGAATTCTCACCAATTAATAACATTCACAAAGGCACACTCATTATACCTTTTTTTCTTTCATCAGCTCAAAATTCTAAGCATGATGTCGTCTGAATGTGTATCCCGTTTGCAATATCATTCAAATCGAGGTCGAACCACCACAAAGGAATGATCTGTAAGAAATAATCATGAAACAAACTGATCATTTACTTACTATAAATTTGAATTATCGATGTAAATAAGAAACAACTACATTAAAATTTTATTCATGAAACACTGGGCATCCTATGATGAAAAATTATGATACATTTTAATCTAATTTAATTTTGTTATAGCATTTTGTAATATAGGCGAAAATATTTTCTCTAAATAATTACAGCTGTATTATTTGGTAATCCAACTGAATGTTTACTGTTTTTGCTACATTCCTTTTATTTATATTTACTTTAGATGGTGAAGTTCTCAATTCAAATTTCTCAGAAGTTGCTCTTCATACAGATCTCGAAAAACGTGCTGCGAGACATAAAAGAAACATTCAAGATAATAATTACCAGCAGTATGGTTCGGAACAACTGAATAGGGGCCTCAATGTAGCTAGTAAATCAATTACTGGCAATCAAGAACTGATGCCCGAACAAATTAGCGATTTACAGAATGGTGAAATGGCCCTTAAATACCCTGTAAATAAAATTAGTGAGCAAGAAGAAGAGTTTAATTCTGATGGGAAAAATTCTCAACGATTGTATGAAATTCCCCAGAGTGAAAACTTTAATAATCATCCAAACTATCAGCAACGTGAACCAGACCTATCACAAAATCAAGACCTGCGAGCCGATACTAAACATACATTTATAAACCATGACCAGATGGCAGCTATACGGGACAGAGAGTTTCAGAATGGTGAAGTAGATCTCCCAAAATATACTTCCAGCAAATTTCGTATCGACGAGGAACGCTTTGATGAAAGGATTCCTCAAAGATTATATGAATTTCCTCAAAATGAAAACTTTAATAGTGAATCAATGGAAAATCAAGGCGTAAAAGTTAAAGATACATTTCGAAACCAAGAACAGCTCCCATCTATATGGGGTAATGATTTTTCAAACGAAGAAGGGTATTCTAGGTATAACTTCTCCAGGTATCCGATGAAAAAGATCAGTGTAAAAGAGGAAAATAATATCGATGAGATCAATAATCAAAACGAACAACTGAAACTTCTTGGAGTACGAGGTCCCGTCATAAAATTAGATATCGATCGCGAAAAGTTAGATTTCGACGAGAGATTGGACAGTAAACAATTAGATCCTGAAGAATACGTAGCGACTATAATATCAAAATGTAATAAAAGTACAGAATGTTCTAATTATGCTACATGCATCAAAAGAGAACACCAAGTAAGATTTTGCAAATGTCAGCCCAACTTCCATGGGAATGGTATATTTTGCTGGGAAGATGTGCATGTCAGAAGCTAACAACTGCTTTCAATTAAACAATTAAATCACTATCTGCTTTGCATATAAGTTTCTGTTTAAAAAATTTTGAATATAATCTGTTGTAAGATCAGCATAATCAATCTTTAACTCTTTATTTATGCAATATAATTATTCTGCAGATTATTCAAAACTTTAAAAGCATATATTCAAATAATTTCCAAAGCTATTGTAAACTATGAACTTTTATTTTGGAAACACTTATGCACTGTGTTGTCTTAACCATGGTTTAGATGATTTACGTCAACAGTACTTTCTACGCAGAATAGAATTATTTCAATAAAGATTGGTTAGGTGATTTCTTATAGCAATATATTTGAGGTAAGTATTAACCCTTTCAGGACGGGCATCCCATATATGCATTCCCTAAGAACGTCTCTTACAGGCGGGCGTCCCATCCACGCATCATTACAGATTGCATTCAGACGACGGGGGATGTGTATACACATTTTAAGCTGGAACGTTTTTCCGAAGGCCACTAGATGGCATTCTATGTCCATTACTTTGAAATGAACAAAGTTTTATGTTCCTGACCTTGACTTTGATATAATCTGTCTGACTTTGGTATTTTACTCATCAACTGTAGCGAGGGTGGGAGGGGGAAGCGTAAACAGAGGTGCCCTCTTTAAATCGCCACATGCTAATATAAATATTCGCGTGCCTGATTTATATCCAATTCCTTTTTTTATTCTATTTTTTCCCTCTACTACACTGGTTATCATAACTTAAGGAAAAATCACGATTATTGAAAAAGTTACATGTAGAATTTTATGAAACTTACCCACAATATACAACACATAGTAAGGTATCAAAATAACATAAAAAGAAATTACCAGACAATTATGGTAGTATAGAAATTAGCACATGTATAAAATGAAATCAGATGTCAGTTTGCTATAGTAAAAGTACCTTCAATATCGAATATAATCACCTCTAGAAGCAATACAGCACATTCAGCAATGTGTGATGCTTTCAATTATGCGGTCTATCAGTTCCATAGGAAGCGAGAGCCATTGCTCTTGCAAAGCAGTTGCAAGCGCGGCAAGGGTCTAAGGGGGCAGATTGAGAGCAGCTAGAAGTTTCCCTAAAGCATCCCAAACGTGCTCAATAGGATTCAAGTCCGGGATCGAGCTGGCCACTCCGTGCGCATAATTGTTTCCCGTTGAAGATAATCATATACGATGCGAGCCCTGTGTGGACTTGCATTGTCGTCCTGTAACAGGAAAGCATCACTTATTGCCCCTGCATATGGGTGCACATAAGCATCAAGGATGTCATCTCTATAAACATGAGCATTCATGGTTCCCCTTGGAAAAACATGGAGGTCTGTGCATCCACCCAATGACATGCCACCCCAAACACAGACACTGCCTCTTCCGTATGCATCTCTTTCAGTGATGATGATGGGTTCCAGGTTCTCTCCATATCAAATAATGCCTACTATCGCTTTGTAGACTAAACCTGGACTCATCTGCAAAGAGAATAGCCCTCCACTGCTCAGGCAACCAGTGGACATGTTGTCGTGCCCTCTGCAAACAGTCCTTCCTATAGAGTGACTTGAGCAGCAAGCAAATGGATGTTTGCCTTGCATACAGATCACCTTCGTGAAGCCTTCTACGCACAGTTGATGTTGACACCAACCTTCCGGTGGCTGCAGCAAGGAAGGATCTAAGAAGAGTCGGAGTAGCGGTTCTATTCCTGCGTGCACATAATGTCAAATATCGGTCATCGGCGCTCATCGTAGCAGTTGGCCGTCCTTGGCTGAACCTCCTAGATGCCGAATCTGTGGTTTGAAATTGCCTCCAAAGTCTATGAACCACAGAAGGACTTACATTTAGCCATCTGGCCACTTCTGTTTGACTTTGTCCTGCCTCTCCATCGCAGTTCTACAGGCAAATGATGCCTGGAGGTCATTTTTACGAATTGGCTATCTCAGATTTTATGTCACTGTCACAGTGAAATATGTGGGCTTGCTCTCAAACATGGACTTTTATGTTCCTCGCAGATGACGTATTCCGAGTGCAGCGCCACTAATTTTGCATATTGGAGTTTTACTCAGCTACTCTTACTTGGCAACATCTTCAAATTTTACATGGTTTGGCTTATTTTTGAGGGAGTTATCGCCTTTTTTTGTGATTTTTCCTTAATTTATGATAACTAGTGTATATACGGTCTTTTATGGTTACTATGTGTAATTCCATTACGTTTTTCATTGCCTTCACATATATTTCGGTTTCTTCACTTTTTATTTCGGAAAGCCTCACCTTCAGTCTATCATGGAGGGAAAGTATTTTGGCTTTGTGTAGCGGAGGGAAGTACAGTCTATTATTCTGGATAATATTTCACAGTTCTTTTGTAACTTTGTTACACTCATTGATTGAAAATTTGTATGCCTCATTACATTTCTCTCTACGTCTTATTAATTTCACAAAGTCACAAATGAAAATTTGTATGCCTCATTACATTTCTCTCGACAACTTATTAACTTCACAAAGTCACAAAGTTTACCAGAAATTGCCCAATATCAAAAAGGCCCATCAGTGGGCCAAGATACAGCATTTGCCTGTATCTTGCATTCTAGTTGAGCTATTTTTAAAATTGAAATATCTCTGAGCTCAGAAGTGAAAGATCTGTAATTCTATATAATTCTAATATACAGAAGACGTGGCCACAAATTCAATTAAACACAAAATAAATGCTAAAATTATAATCCTAAAAGCAACAAATAAATTAAATAAAACAATACTGTAATATTACAGCAACACAGCAAGGCAATTAAACGAGTTACAGTTTATACAACACTGCCGCTCCTTAAGGACAGAACCCTCCAGTCAGTGCAATCTTCAAGATGAGGGGCAACTGAACTTTATTATCAAAATAAGGTGTAAAATCTCACAGAGGTTTAGAAGGAATTCTTTGGATATGCACTACTACTTCATTCAATTTCTTGATCACACAGACGATATCTGTAACTTTGGTAAAATCTTTCGACGAAGCTTGGAGTTCCACATCCAGACTTGACCGCCTTCCCTGAATTCCCTCTCCATCGACTGAGCATTGTATTTTGCCTTTATGAACTCAATCGCTATGTTGATCCTTTCCCTGGTGACTTATAAATGTCTTCTGAACATGCCCACAGATCTTCCAGATATTACTCAACTGAAGGTGTGTCCGGCAGTTGTCCGTACAACAAATCACACAACAGACAAAGATCATTTGCCATGGAGAAAATCCAGTGTTCTAATGACTGGCATTTCTGTACATGAGGTAAGAATAATGGCAGTTTTCGGTCCCCCTCCTGCTGGCACTGGAATAATCTATGCTGCATTTAATTCAAGAATACAGTATACGCTTTTTAAGCACAATTCATGCTGTTCCAAAAAGAAACATTTTGCACAATAGGCACTGTGTGAGTGAAAGCTCTCCCTTTACCTCTATGCCTAGAACATTACTCTTCAGGCACTTAGGCCACTGATGTTAACTACAAAATAAATGCAAGCATGCCATCATCATAGGAGAGGGATGAAAGCTATTCGAGCAAGGTGACAAGTAAAACGTTTCAAAGAATAGGGCGAGTTGGGTTATTTGAATATAAATAAGAAGAAGAGGCCTATTTGCCTAGGAGAAATGCCTTCATAGAGGACTTCCTAAGGGAACAGGCTCATATTTGAGTATAAAATAATGAAAACATTATTTTACTATAAATTTTGTTTTTTATATGTTAAACCATTATGGTTAAATTTTCTATATTAATAAGTGAATATTCTGCATCCTATATTACAAGGTGAAATTACTGAACATTCTGAAATTCAGTTGATCAGCAATTGACAGTACTAAAAGTTTAATTGTTATTTGAAAGTAAATCAGAATGCCATCATCCTTCGTAGTTTAAGAAATATTCACTTAATGAAGGGCAAAATACTGATTTCTTTCATTCTAGGACATGCTTCTTAATTTCAGCACAATCTAACTTCTTTGATTCACAGCAAATAATTTTTAGTGACTGGTTTTGTTTTACTTGAAATTAATATACATAAAAATTTAGTTTTTTAGGTATATCAAAAAATTCATATTAAATTTTTCAGGTTTATAAGCATTCTTTCACTGATGTTATGTGTAATGACTGCTTATTATTACTTTACAAAATATAATATATATAAAAAATCTCTTAAATTCTAGTCATTTTATTCAACCTCCTTATTCGAAGTTTCACTTTCTAGGTGGTAATTACTCCTAAATTTTATTTAAAACTATTTTTAAAAAATCATCACTTGGCCTTAGAACTGTGATTATTTTACTTGAGGGGAGGGGGAAGATAATGCACAATTTCTGGCACAAATTGTGCCACATAGTTCAATTTACTCATTATTTTATATAATTTCTATGCTATTTTGTGATTTTATAATGTTTTCCTTTTTATTGCACAAAAATTAAAAAGTATTAAAATTTGGTATCTTGTATACGCCTTGTTAAAATTTTCATAATTCAGAAGAAGCCACATTTTAGATTTCAGCTGGATGTTAATATAGTGATAAAACATATCAAGCAAATGCAAACAAATTCTGCACTGCTACTCCACATTCCAGACGCATAAACTTAAAATTTTTTTGACAAAGTATCGAACACTATTTTCCTTAACAACTTTTTTGTAACATCTAAAGAATAATTTGTTTTCATTTTCAGTAAAATCATGGGATTTAAATAAATGATTTTGCCATTCAACAACTAATATGTCCTCTTTGATATTATAAAAAGCATTGCTGGATACATCATTAAATTATTTGTGGATTTCTTTATAATGGTTATTTTGTAATATTAGTGTCATAAACAGGTTTTTAACACCGTAAGATAAGTTGACTGCAATATTTCGACTGCTACTCAACCATCTGCATTAAAAATTAAACTTTCATTATAATGAATTTTTTAACATTTATATGCACACTTATTATCAGCCTGTTAGTTTATTGATTACATAGTTTTCTAATACCATTTTACAATTAAGACATGCAAGAGCTTTTGAAACTGATTTTTTTAATTAATTATTATGGTACTTTTATATATTTTGATTTCTTCGAGGTGCTACATCATAATCATAAGTTTATGAGACAACACAAGAATTTATATAATAACACAGTACTTTGATGATACTTTGTTAAAGAGTTTATATAATAACACAGTACTTAGAAAAACAGAACCGATGATACTTTGTTAATCTTCACTCAACCCTCTTGAAAAGAATAAGCATGACAAATTAGTAAGCACAGCAATTGAGATATGGTAAGTACTTCAAAGTTAAAGCACAGCAATCGAGATATGATAAGTACTTCAAAGTTATTCTCAAATATAAAATAATACGTTGTGACATTTCTGATAGTAACATCAGATTAAATCCACAATTTTTTAGCAACTTATTTCATTTGTCTTGACAGTATCTTAGACCAAGTACACAAATTTTATCATGGGCAAGATTTACAAGTTGCAACTATCACTGGTTTAGGTCTTGGGCATCTTAAATGTGACAGTACATATTTGTTTAAGTTGCAAAATTCTAGCCTGTGTTGAGCTATATGCTGCACAAAATGCTGTTTCTGACGACACAGTTCGAAGAATTTAAACATGATAATTCTTAGCCTGAAAGATAATGCCTGCTCTGGAAGAAGTCTGTAAATAAGCACCTAAAAGAAGCTATTGCTGAAAAACCATGTTCAGACAAAATAGATATTAAAAAAAATACAGCATGTGATCATTTAAAGAAGACTGGGAATGTAAAGCTGCTAAAATGCACGGGCACCTCATACTTTACAGAGCAGAATAAGCTTACTTGAATTTTGTAATGCGATACTTTGTTCAAGTTCCTCTTTGAAACGGCACATTACTGGAGAATAAAAGTGGATACTATAGCCCATTTTCAAATTTTGCTTACATATACTGTCCAGAAAGAAAGAAAATTCAAGATAAATTAATTTTTAGTTTAATTTGAGCAATGCATTGCATAATATGATTATAAATATATTTCTACAATTTAAATTTGAATTTAACAAATATTCTCTATTCTTATAAAGCAAATATAAAATTCTCATTTTGTAAAACGCAAAGTAAATATAAAATTAAAATTTTAAATTTAATTCATTAAATTTTATGTGAATTAATTGCACTTATGCAACCATGAAAAAATATATTATTAAAAAAAAAACACTTAAATGTATTATTCTGCAATTTAAAATATAAAAAAAAATCAACTGAAAATTTTTAGATAAAAATTTAGCAAATAATTTGTCTTCCACTTCATGTCAAGTTTTTACCTCAACATTATTTTACCTCCAATTAGTTTGTAAATTTGCCTAAAGGGTGGGGGCAGTACATGTTCAGAGTATTCAAACTTAGCTTGACTAGTTTATCTATGTCACTGAATACGTCTGCCACTTTTTAAAGGGACTTTTACAAACTAATTTTGGGTAAAATAATCTAAAGGCAATGGACATGAAATGGAGAAAAAAATTATTTTTCTATTGATTTGTTAAAGGGGAAAAAAACATCTGTAATTAATTTTTATCATGAATATAACACACTAATAGTTCATATTTAAAATAATTAAACCTCTTTATTTAAAAAAATAAATCAGGTTACAAAATAAAGAAGTTAAATAACATAAAACTTGAAACGGACAGACATTTTTGCCTACAATCACATTTTTTAAAGATTTACATATTGTATACTTAAAAAATTTTGATTTTTTAATATTTTAAATTGTAGAAATATATTTATGAGCCCTATACAATAATGTAACATTGAAATTAGTATAAAGAACCTTCTTATCATCAAGAGGGGACTGCATCCCAAGAAATAATACTTTGAGTACAGTATTGCAGTTTCCTTCTTTGGAGATAGTTAAGCGACATGAAGACAACTTCTTTAACAATAAACCTAATGACTTTTTTTAAGAGAGGACTTTCCCTGTTGCCTGAAAAGTGGCACAAAATCCTAGAATAAAATTAGGTTTATGACTCAGAAAGTTTATGCCCATACTGCTTTATTTATATATGTCATTAAAAAACTACAGTATTTTTCGAATGCCTTTTTAAGTTATATATAAGTAATAATTTCTTATATATAACTTTGTGGCTAAATAATATATATAACAAATATATAAAAAAGTTATATATAAGTAATATATATATAAGTAATAATTTTTTCATATTGTTACTGAAACTGTTTTGCAGACGAGTATGTGAATCAACACCTTGCAAAAGAAAAATCAAGGAAAAAAAAAAAAAATCGCTCAATCAGTTCTGAAGAAATATGTTTTTTTAGTTATACTGATTTCACAAGTTGTTACACTTTACTGGTCTAAAAATAAAATGATTGAAACTCCATTTTGGGGGATCTTTTGTTACACAAACATAATTTTTATTAAACTTTTACTCTAAACATTAAATTTTGTGCTTTTATTTTTTCTTAATTTTGTGAAAGTAAACAGTTTTTAGAAAGTAAAACTTGCTTTTATTTCCCCCATACATTGCATAACTACGTGCATCTGTGTGAAAAACAGTGAGGACTGAATCTTGTAAGTTTTAAGCAGCAGTTAAGGGATTAAGAAATAATTATCAATAACAAGGAAAGAAAATATCAAAGAAATTTTTGAAATCCACTTTATTTATAATTGATGTTTAAAATGACAATTTAAAGTAAGATGAGTACATCAGGAAATTTTACATGAGCTGGAAATTCTCCACAGGAAACAAAATGCTTGATCAAAAGTGGTTTAGTGAGAGCTGGACTACTGACTTCAAATCATGATTATGTCTCGTCAATGATAACGCTATGATGGTAAAAACAAAATGCCAGTTATGAAATCAATAGCCACGTCGAGTGGCACCTGCATAGGGGTGAGATTGGAGCCTTGCATTACTTCGCCCTCTTCCACCTCCACTCCTGATCGGCGGCACACGTGGTTCTTCGGCTGAAACATCACACATTTTAGAAATGACATTTCAAAATGTGTTTACTTATTATAATATCCATCAGCATTAAAAAAAAAAAAAAAACTCCTACTTTGACTGTACTGATAAAACAGTCCAGTATATATAGTAAAACAAATAGTCACAGCTACTTACTTATTTGTTATAGCTTTGTCAAACAAATTTCTGATAAATTATTTTTTAAAAATAAATAAGCTCTGGGATAATCGTATACTGAATTTTTCTTCAAATCTAACTTCAAGGTGACAAATACTTTTATTAGCATATTTGTATGTAAAAATGAACATAAAATCATACATACTTTAAGCCTTTTTCTAAAGGGAAAAGTAATTAAAAAGCTTCTGGGAGGAAGGCTAAATTTTTATTAAATCTTTTTTGGATTTTGAAAATTAATACCTACAAAAACATTCAAAATTAGTTATAGAATCATTAAGTAAAACAATACAATAATTCAAAACAATAAACAGAGGAATACACCACCATAGTAAATAATGCTACACTTCAGTGGTAAGAAGGTATTCATAAAAAATGCCATTCTCGAGATAACTACACTTTTTTTTTTCTTAACATGTTCCCAGCCATCTATGAGAATACCCGCAGCCAGCAAACTTGTTTACTTGCAAGGTACGAGATAACTCGTTATCGATTGCCTTGCCTAAACACGATCGAGTACGAATACTGCAGTAGTAAATGCATGCACTGTTTAAGTGTCCGGCATGCAGGAAGTGACTAAACAATACACTTGCCATACTGAAATGGATTACTTAATTCTCAAAACTACAATTAAATGTTCAGAATGGAGTGGTAGAAATTGTTTTTTGGTTTATTCTCTTGGGAAACACTGCTTAAATTTTTGTTTGGTGAATGGTATAAGACTAACTGAAAATATCACAGGTGAGAAGTTCGCAAAATTTTGCATGACTGCGTAGAAAGGCCAAGTATTGTTTATCTAGTTCCGAGTTTTCTCGCGGTTACCACAGGGAGGAAAAATATTATTTCATATGACAAATACAAGTATACTCGTGCGAATTTAGTTACTAAGAGTAACTTGTAACATCTATTATTTAATAAAAAAAATAACAGAAAATAATTTAAAAGCGTAAAAATACAGCGTATGTGAATGAAAGCATTTAATCAGCTTTGGCAGGGATCGTGCTGTCATTTTAAAGATTATGATAAAAACTCACATGAAACAGAAATACAGACTGACCTGCCACCCAGTGATCGAATCCAGTTAGTTGGTATCAATTCCTAAAATATTTTCAGTTCACTGACTTCCTCATTCAAATTGATTTGTAAGATTTATTTATAATTTAATAGCTAATTATCACTTAGGCAATGAACTGTTCCTTAAAATTTATTAATTTTATCACTACTGCTGCCTACTGTTCAAGACATTTTATAGACTGAATTATAAAACAAAACTTTTCTAACAGCAAATTATTAATACCATATACATGCCCATTCAGATTCATTTACCCCACATACATGTTTTAAACAAAACAAGCAAACAATAAGAGGAAAAAAATTGAAGCAGATAATCTAGTAATCTAATTCCTTTGAAAACTCTGTATACTTTCTAGTATTTGATTTCACAGATGACCTCAGCATACACTCAGAAAATGAATCTAAAGTGAACATTGGATCTCGAGATATACATTATAAAAACTGGTATCTATTAAATACTTGAAAAAATATACCCTTGAATTGATAACAAGTATTAATTCTAAGTTCCTAAAATTTCACAAGCTGTGTTACAATGAGCAGCTTTGAAATATAAAATTTTATTACTGATCATTATAGTGAATTTCAGTTTTTTAAAAATAAAAGTAATACTTTCTGCTAATACCCAATTTATCTGGGAAAGAACAAGTTTTAATTTTCTTCATCAAAACCCAGACACTGATCTCCAGAGTTTAGTGTCATTTGAAGTCATTTGAAGCCTCTTCTAAATCAGCATCCGAATCCTCGTACAACAAATTGTCCTCTGTACCATCCAGTGCAATTACTAATCCCCCATTCGTAAATGATTTAACCACTGTCTCTGTTCTCACAGCATCCCATGAAGCTTTGACCCACTCACAAATTTGCGAAATGCTAACTAATAAAGTGAGTGTTGACATATAAGACCCATCTCGTTTTCCAGACCTATTTTCAAAGAAAAAAGTGCATCTTATGTGCAAGCAAATACGGTACATTCTTTTTTTATATCAGAGTCTGTAACAACTCAAATTCTGAAAAGAGCTGAACCTTCTATATGCTATTATGGTTGGTTTAATGGTTAGAAGATACAGCTTTTGAGTATACAGCCAGAATTCAAACTGAAGACTAAACCAAAATGCTTATGATCATGTTTTATGTAAAATCTGGCAGCCTCAAAGAACCCTTGTATAGTTGATGCAATTGGAGGAGTACAATATCCTCCTTCTTATACAATTTCCTAAGATGTCTTGATCAAGACACCATGGTGGAGAGCTGCAGATGTTTGTCTAAATTTGTCAATATACAGTAGACAGGAGGCTATGCTATGCTTCTTCCCATTTGGTGTAAACAAAAATCACACCAAATTTTGAATAATTAATCGAGTGATGTGACATACCATATATACAAACTTAAATGACAGAATTACAGGTTAAGACAGTGGCACACAAATGCTAATGTTTCAATGCACCATCAGTGCTGGATTTGAGTTGAACAAATCCCAAATGTTTAGTCATAAGAAAGCAACTTGCAACTTCAAGACTACTTGAATTACATTAATAAACAGAATAAATTATGTAATACATACCTCCATAGCCATCTGCATAATGACCATCAGTATCTGCAGCATAATCGTAATATGATGAAGCAGTTCTATAAAGAAAAAAAAAATATTAAAATGAAAATAAATTAAAAAAAAATCTATCAAATTTAGCAATCATTTGAGTTTACTGCCTTATAATGTCTCTGTGTTTACTCACATTAAATGTTTAATTCAGCTACAATAGGAAGGATTAGTTTAAAAATATCATTAAACATGTATAAATAAATAGAACATAAAATATATATATATATATAAAACCTGCATTACAAACAATTTTATGGCTGTTGTGGAAATTATTTACATTGAATGCTTATTAGTAACTAAGCATATAGACACTTCCTTCTTAGGAACTTTTGTAGATACAAAGCTATTCTCAAAAAGGTAAATTTGTTTACAGTCAAAAAGGCAATTGACAAACAGAATACAATAATAAAATAAATAAATAAATAAAAAATATTATACATGCTATATGTACTCCTAGTATTTAAAGGAAAAAAAAAAAAAAAAAAAAAAAAAAGAAAAAAACTGACATCACTTTATAACACTTTTGGAAGGACTACTATACTTGTGTACAGATCATGATACAGAGGAAGGAAGATGCCTAATATACACAAAAACAACTTTTTTTAAGACCCTTGTGAGTTTTGTCAACACCTGTAGGCAACTGATCTTAACATGCAGAACAGGGATTTTAAATCAAAACTGAGATCTTACATTTTATGCATTAAATAATATATAAAAAGAGCATGCTTCCTACTACGATACCAAGAATTGGGGCCCTTTTTAATTTTTTGTAAATATAGGTTGTAATACAATATTTTGTTCAGGAAGAAAAGCTGTTAAATGATTTTATTATTTGATACTCTTCAAAGCCCTTAATTTGATTTTCAGCCCTTTTTTTAATTTTGAATAAATAAGGTAGTAGCATACATTTTAACTCGAGAAGAATATCTCTTCAACATCTTGAAGCCCCCCCCGGATTATCAGGCTCATAGGTCCCGTGGAACCATCTGTAAAACGTTTTTCTAATATTATCTAATGCTATTTTGTTTTTTTTTTTTAAAATTATTTGATGATCACGCATACCCTAACCGAGAGACTTCCCTTTTGCTTACAAGCGCAGCCCTGCAGTACATCTGGCGTGGGACTTTTTTTTCGCTCCTTTGTTTTCAAGGTCGTACACATTTCCTTACATGAAAATTAAGGACTTTTAAGGACCATCAAAGAAAAAATTAAGGACCTATCAGCAAACAAAAAAATGAATAGAATAAAGCAATTATCCATACAACCGACTTCATGCTTGTAATTTCACTTTAAAAAACTAACAGAAGTGTGTATTATGCACTATTATTAAATTCAACTTAATACTTACCATAAAACAATTTTGAAAATTAAACTAACTCCCTACAAGTTATGAAGTAGATAACATTAAATTAGGAACATAATTTCTTGAAAAACATGTATAAGTGTATTTTACACTAATAACAGTCACTATTTTAGAGATTTACATGATTATTATTTAACTTATTTGATATTTATTTAAACACAGTCAACTACTATTATTATAATCACAATGTAAGAATATTTTGCAGATTAAAATAACTGATTTGTAAACATACAATTTATTTCCTTGGTTTTTTGAAAGATACTAGAATAATAAACTGTACAATAAAAGATACAAAACATTTGTGCTTTTTTTAAATCTGAAATCTTTTCAGCTATGTTAACATCTAATTTATTTATGTCTATTTGCTTTGATAAACAAATCAATGTTCCTGCTGGTCTCAGCTTTATCTGCTAAAGCATCTACTTCTTCATTAATGTCTTTAATGTCCCTTTGAAGAAAGTTTTTTCTTCTGCTTCATATAATCAATTTCTCTTCAATAATATTTCTTTTCCTCTTTGAATTTTCAGATTTAGTTAAAGATTTTTGTTCTTCTAAATACTGAACTTCTAAATAACGAACTCCACTTCTTGCAGAAGCTGCTGCTGATCTCATTTCTTTATTAATTTCGATATTAAGAACACCTCCAGAAAATTTTATGTAATCAAATACTGTGCGTTGAAAAATGTATGATGAGTCACTTAAATTTTCAATTTCAATTGCTTTATTTACAGAGAAGCCCCTTTCCACAGAGGCCTGTTCATGTGACAAGATAAGAATACTTGTCACAGTGAATACTGAATAGTGAAAATATACATTTTTTACTATATATATATAATAATTTATTTCCTAAACAATATTGATTAATTGATTATATTATCTCCTAAGTTTAATTAAAGTAGAATTATTTTAAAAGAGTGAATCCATACTGGTAAGTTATATTTTGAAAGATGTATATATATTATATATAAAGTCCGAGATCCGGACATCCAATATCTGGAATGATCTAAAATCCGGACCTCAAAGCCACCACCAACCAATTTTTTAGGGCTTTTTTGAAGGGAAGGGGTATGCTTTACGCACGCGCATTAGATTTTTTCCCTCATCATAAAAAAACATGCCGGAAATCCCGATTCTTAATCTCAGTTTGGCGCTAAATAAAATATCTCATTATTGAAGAAATAATTATTTTAGCATAAATTTGTGTGATTAGTAACTTGACTCCATAGCTGCGTATCTGCTTGGCATAATCTCAAACCGAAACATTTGTTAATTTTACACCAACTAATATTTTATATCCTTGATGCCGAAATCGCGAATCATTATTTATTGTATTTTGCTTTCATCACCGCATGTTTATCAACGGATGACAACTTGAGTGATGAATCATGCAGCGACGCCAAATAACAGAGTATTATCCGATTACAGATTTAAGTTTAATGCGCTAAAATGTTGACAAGGGGAGATTTAGCAGAAATTTCTTTCCTTATGCTAAAAATAGATTTTGTTAATGATACTCATAGGACAAACGATTATATTTAGTGCTATTTGAATTAAGAATAACTGATTTGTTATTCACATAAAGCCAGAACCAGCGCCAGAGCTCGCATGGCCGCACCAGGCGGCAGAATTTAGCGAAGTTAAACAGAAGTTTTTCATTGCGATGACAATGCCCAATCATCAATCAATTAACGGAGGGCTAAAATCTGTAGTATGGTTCTAAATCCAGAAAATACAGCTACCGATAGTGAAGAAAGTAACAGAGAGGTTACTGAACGAGAAAAAAATTTTGATTGACAAGTTATTCGGAATTCTCGACACAGCAATTACAGGACTTGAACAATGGAACTTAATAACTGAACAAGAAATTATATGTCTATAGTATTAGTCTAAAGTATTAGCAGAGAAAACAAATCAAACAACTCACATTGAAAGAAATGTTTAATAAAGTAAACATATAAATATTAAGCTCTTTTCTTTTGTAAATTTTGATACCCTTTAAATCATAAATGCTTCATTATTTCATAAATCACGATTTCATATTTTCAATTTTATAATTTCTACGTGCCATCTTAGTAGATTTAAAATGATCTAATATCCGGAAAAATCTCAAATCTGGGATCGCCGAAGTCCCGACGAGTCCAGACCTCGGACTTTGTACTGTATATATATATATATATATAATACGGAATGTATATTTTCAGTTAAACTTCTACCCAATAACTTTAGTAATTCATGAAAGTTAATTTTGCGTCTAGTTAATTCAGGAAAATTAGTTTCAATTAGTTGTTTTCAGCTTTAAAAATATTTAAAAAATTTTAATTAGTTATTTTCAACTAATAATTGTATCGCCATTAGCAAAAATTATGCATTACTATCAACAACATAGGTTTAAACCAAATACTTAATTGTCCATTGAAGCTTCAAAACGTATTTCCGAACTTCACCTTTTCTCGGCTAGCGTTACCGAATTTGCCCTTGGCGACCTAAAATCGAAATGGAGCCAACAGATTTCCCGCGAAATCGATAACAGACCCCCTGCAGAAATAAACTTATAATCCTGATATCCCATACATATAGTATGTGCAAAAGAGAATAAACTCCGTAGAAGGTGATAAAAAATTAAGCTAAGCAAAACCGTGTAAAAACAAATTGAAATGATAAAATGAAACTTAATTTTCATGTGAATTTTTAGGGCTGACTCTCCCATTCTAGAAATTTCAATTTGTTTCAGACAGACCACATTTAAGGATTGCCATCCATCAATATCCAGTCTTTGTAGTCAGCTTGATGAAGCCACAGTTTATTGAAAATGCACTTTCCAGGCATCTCGTTCCTATTGGCGTCGGAAGGGTTGTGGCCTTCCAGGTTGGAATTGCTCTAATTTTGGCAAATATTTTCAGAATCTCCCCCCCCTTTTTTTTTCTCGAGCACCTTCATCATCACTTTCGCCTCTTAAAGAACTTCCGGCTTCACGCTTTCGTCACAATCTGCCTAAATTTATGGATAACACCTGTTTCGAAAGATTGGGTGAATAGCCAATCAGACACCGATACTTTCGTTCGGGTAGCTAATTGTTTTTTTTTAATCGTTTGCAACGCAAATCCGCCAACAGATTGGTTAAGAGCCGTGTAATTTTAATTCCATATTCATGAGAAATCGTAATTCACACTTAGAATGGCAATCATTAGAAATGATAAGAAATGTCAAATGAGCAAAATTAAGGACCGTTTATTCATTTTGGCCAAAATTAAGGACTTTTAAGGACCAAAAATCATTTTTGAAAAAATTAAGGACTTTTAGGAAAAAATTTTGGTTTTTTTTGTAACTATGAGAGAATCGCTAACACAAGAAAAAAGAACTAAACATGTAAACTAAATGCTAGACAGGTACTCTCATCCTATAAATATTTAAATCTAAAGAACTTGTAAATCAATCGTAAACAATTATAATGTAAAGAAATTCTGACATCTCTTGCAGTAGAGAGGAAGCCTGGTGCTGCTATCTATTGACATGGTACTCTCAGTATAGGCACTGATACATTTTATATACTATATTTTATATCATATCAGTAATCTTTTAATTATCAGTTCTGACTGAAATGCAGTAAATATATAAGATTCAGCATGTGTACGTGATATATTTTCAGATTTTGAATTTTTTCTCCCCTTCCAATAGAATTTACAAATCTTCAAGCAGGATACCTTGAAACGAGGTATATTTATTTTGTACGTGCAAAATATTCAGCATTCATAGGGTAGCGCTGCCATTTAGAATCAAAAGGAAACACTAAAAAGTTATGATTACAGCTTTTGGTGTAGAAAAATTAGCATATTTTAGGAGGTTAAAAATAAATGTATGAACAATATATATATATTCATCTTTAATTTTGGGGTTTTTTTTAGCTCGAAAAAAAAAATTACTTTTTCAGAAAAAGCAATAATTAAGAGTTAAGAAACGAATTATTTTTAATCTTTTTTGGGCATTTGTTTTGAGCATTGCACCCAGAAATATCACGGGGACGAAAATTTCCCCCTCCAAAAGCTCACCCAGCAGCTTTGGCGGGCATGAGTAGGAAGCAGTTAAATAAATAAAATTATCTTACCCAGAATTGTATTCAGCATAGCCTTCACCATAATTATTATAGTCATTTGCTGGTTCTTCATAAGGCTTCACAGAAAAATAAATCAGTACATTAAAATTTATATTAATACAATTAATTAAAAGCTTGGACAGCAACAATAAAAATTAAATTATAAAATTAAGGATTAAATTTAGTAATAGAAAAGTTTAATTTATAATAACTTAATTGCAAGTAAAATTTGACAATTTAGCAAAGACTGCACAAGCTAACAAATTTCTATTTTTTGAATAAAATAGGAAAAAAACTTCCATTCCAAACAATTTTTAAGCACAATAAGTCTATTATGATGCAATATTTTAATCTGCATTATATAAAAATGAAATACATACTCTAGCTGCAGGACGTCCAGCTGGAGCAGCATATCCACCCCTCCTTGGAGCCGGCCTAGGTGGTGCCGCCCATTCTTCACCTTCGGGAGCTGCGTATGAACTCTGAGCCATGACAGGTCGCCTTGGTGGTGGCGGTGGTTCCCTACCTGCCATCATAGGTGGACCCATAGGTGGTCGTGGAGGTAAAGGAGGACCTCTAGGTGCCATGTGTGGAGGTCCATCCCCAACAAAAGGTGGCTTTGGTTTACCATCATACTGAGGACGCATCTCATCAAAATATTCCTATAGGAAAAGTCAGTTTAAAGTGCAAAGAATTAAACAAATCCTACTTTAGAATTTCAAATATTTGAAATACCGTAAAGGCCCTTATTTTCGCTGGCCGTAATTTTCACGAAAATGAATATATCGGTGAAATGCTCGAGCTGAAAATTTCGCAAATTTTATATGAACAGATCTGAAAGTTGAAAAATTTCAAAAGTACCTAAGTTGGGAAAAAAAAAAAAAATATTTCGTGAGGCCTAAATTTTCGCGATTACAACAGGCTCGCGAAAATCGTGAGAATTAATTAATAAGGGCCTTTACAGTAACTGAAACCATAATATATTCAGGTTGTTTCAAAAGGTAAGTAAGAAATAGATATCTCGAATTTATTTAAGTTCCTTTTCCTGTATGCCAAATACATATTTCTTACAAGGCATCACATACGGAAATTTTTTTCCGTTTATTTATTTACATTTTTAATAGCATGGTTTAAAAATACATTTATATTCCTATTCAACAAAAAAAAAAAAAAAGAATTTTTTTCAACAAATATAACCAATGAAAAATCAGTCTTTGTTAAATAAAATTTATTCTTACTTCAACTAAAATAAAATTTGTTTTTATTTATACAGGTCCTAAAACTAAACACCTAATTTGTGTTTATTTTTATTAAAATTAAATAAATATTTTTTTTCTTCCCATTTGTACACAATGTTAAAAAAGTCCCTGCATAGATCATATAGAGTCCAGCAACGTTCATAGCATAATTTGACTGGCGTAGTACAATGACGTACTGAATGAATGTGCGCCAGCTCGTGCCATATTCGTGTAGTAGTGAGCTGCCATTTCGAGCGTGACAGTGATATGGATGGGTGGAGTGCATGGCATCGTGCCTTTGCTGTTGAAAGTTATTTCAAGAATAACTATTCTGTTATTGCTACCCAGCGTCTATTTCGGCAACATTTCAACTTGGGGAGTTATGGGAAAGTTCCAGATGGACGGACCATTGCGAATGACATTTCCAGGTAGAGTAATTTCCCGTTTTGGTGACATTTTCCCTGGCCTGATCACCTGATCTTTCATGTACAGACTTTTTCCTTCGGGGCCACCTGAAGCAAGAAGTTCTCCACCATTCCTGAGTTGAAGTATTGCAACCAAACTGCCATCAGCAATGTCCCAGGGAATACGTTACGGTGAGTTATGGCAAGCTTCCAATGCCACCTACAGGAATGCGTTGTGCAGAGGGAGCATCATTTGAAAAACTTAATCCACACTATGGATAATGACTTACATATTAGTAAAAGGCATACCTTTAAATATTAATTGACATAAGAGGTAATAAATAAATTACAGTTACTGCCTTATGGTGTGTTTTTAATATCCTACTATGAATGCTGCCGCACCCTGTATTTCACCATTTTGGTTTCAGGAGGGACGACACTCATGACTAAACAATAATTTATTAAAGTTCAATATCCATACTCCTACCCCAAAACGTCTGGAAATTGAGAATATAATACTCAAGAAAGAGCATTGTGCTGGAAAATTGTTTTTCTTGAGACTTCCTACATGCCACTTTCAAACATCTGCTGATTACGATATCACACAGCGGACAATACACTGAATTGATTTTGTACAAACATTAGCCAGGAAAACTCTTGAAAGATTGTGAGAAATGTTGTAGTGACATTAGGTATTGTTTTTTTTTTTTTTTTCTGACACCAGTTGTTACGTTATTTTCTTCCTTCACGTTTGTACGGGGTTCGTGTGGATTTGGAGTGAATAACGACAACACTTGATGAAGTATCGAAACACACTTTATTTGGCAGTATTGTCAGGACAGCTCCAAAACAAGTTTTACAGTTGTCGACAAGCTACTATAAACACGCTGACACGATCAGCGACACAGCCTTCATGTTATTAGGCTATAACGGTGGAGACAGCTTCACTGCAAAGCACCAGAGTACAGCTCCCGACTCTGCTTGGTCGTTCTCAAAACTCCAACCTACGACTCGTGATACACAGGACTCCAGACTCTTCGGTTAAGCCGTTCGCGGAGCTCAACACGCTCTCTCGACGATGCGCTAACCACAATACACTCTTTCGGTGCACTCGCTGACCACCTGTCAACTCGATCGAATCCGCAGGAATTGACTCGCTAGACAAGACACCAACTCGATACTAAATCACACTCTAGACGAGCCACACACACTACCTGCGGACACACTACACTGACTGCGGACCAGCAGGGTTTATATAGCTTTCGGCTTGTGTTTGAGAACATTCTGGGCTAAACCGGTAAGAATTCGTTCCAGAAGGTTCTCCATCTGTCCATGGTATATAGCCAATTTTGTCGCCCTCGCCAAATGTGGCAACCCTGCTTTCCCTTGCCATTTTATGGCAACACTAAAACTGCTTTGCGGGGAAGCCATCTTACAGCGCCTGTACATTTCGTAACAACTTTTTTTTTTCTTTTTGAAACAGGCAAGATGAAAAATGAGCAATTGCCTTTGCCGGGAATCGAGCCACAGATTTCTGGAATACCAGCCCAGCGTGCAGAACCACTACATCATGAGGCATGCTAGGAAGGCGGGAGAAATGTTAGTATTTTTCTATATTACCTAAACAAAAAGTGAAGCCACAAGTCATTTTTGTTTAAAGTGGAATGTTGCTCATGCTATTTTTTTCCCCTTCTTTGCATTGCCACAGGAGAAGGATTTCAAAGAACTAAGTCTAGCCAAAACAGGAAATTATGCTCTTGCTTAACTTTCTGATTTGACCCAGCTTAATACTTCCAGCAGGCTATTATCAGAGCTATCATATCAAAATTACAATTTAAATTTCTAATTATGCCAAAACACATTAATTTTGGAGCTTCAGCAAGATTTGTACAGGCATGTTTTGCTATCAATTAAGAAAATGTGGATACAGGCATATCCATTTCAACATTTTATGAAGAATATGACACTTAAGAAGGTTATTTCAGGTAGCCCCGAAATACCTCAGCAAGCTCTGCAGGCTACAAGTGCTGTCAACAAGTTCCAAAGCAAGGCTAACAATTTTAACTTATGTGAACATAGCAGGAGTTTTAATTTTTTGTAATTTAAGGGGGGGGGAAATAAAAAAAAAAGAGAGAGAGACATCAGATATTTAAAGGAGTAAAGATTTTGCCTGTCACCTAATATTAAAATAAAACAGCATGGATTACAAAAAGCGTTATTGTAAGATTCATTTAAAAACATAATGGGTAACCCTTTATATGAAAACCATTTCATACCCAAGGCTGGGCAACATTCAAAATTGGTTAGATGATGCAAAAATTTTCTTGATTATAGACTACGGTTTAACTTGTCCTTCACTTAAATTTTAGCAAAACAATGCCCACGCTTTTTTTCCCCCTCTAATTAGAGCATCCATCATTCAACCACAGGATATGCTGCACACGCTGACTGCTGATTCACTTATTCTTCTGCATTTTATAATACTTTGGAAGGTTATAATTTTAGTATTCAATACTATTTAATTATAATATAAATTCAAAGGAGCAGCTTAATTTGATTAGATTATTTCAACACATATTTAAAGCGATGCATTTTTGTCTCGATGCACCTTCGAACTGTTTGAAGAAAAGATTGATGTGCGTGTAGAAAAAAAAAATTAAGATAATATAAAACATGAATTACACAAATATTTACAAATTAATATGTATGTAGTAAATTTAAAAATATTTCTCACTTGATCTGGCCTGAATGGGGCAGCATTCTCCTGGAAGAAAGGGAATTCCTAAGATACCATTTCAACTTAGAAATTTAATACAGTACAAAGTCCGAAATCTGGAGGTTCGATAGTCATGATTTATTATGTAAATATATCCTAAATCATCATTATTTCAAAAAATTCTCTTTCTCACATAATAGAGGAATAGAGATTATGTCATTCAAGAAAATGCAAGTGTGCCATAATTTCGATTTTTGTCCTGATTAGCCAAGATTTCTTTTACCAAGAAACATCATTATCAGGTATATTGACTAAACATTCTGCATGTTATTTTGGTTACCAGCCAGCTACAGAACCACATTTTCATAGCCCTCCACATAACATATGAAATTCAAATATTGTTTTGGTTTGGAATGTTGTGCATATTGTTTCAGCATAGCAGAGAGAAGAATGGTTAGAATTAAATTCCAATAAACTTAAGCTCAGTTAGCACTGTGAAACGTACTCTTGCTTTACTTTCTTTGACTAATCCAGCTTATATGCCATCTTATCAAAATTAAAGTTTTGCAAAACACAACATTTCTGTTTCACACTTTTCCTGAAAATTTAGATCCATCAATCAGCCAATGGATACTGAAGCTTCACATGAACTGGTCTTTTTATGGAAGACCTGACAGTAAGACCACCTAAAAAATCTTGAGATATTTTAATATAAAATCTGCTTTATCTTCTGGAGCATTCATTATAAATCAACAAAGGCAAGTCTGCAGATAATTCCTAAACTGTATGGCATAATTTATAGCCAGTTACTACATTTCATCATGATAGCACTGAAAGTTTTTGGCTATCACAAATTAAAAAACAAAATTTCTTTATGAATGCAATATGTGAAGAAATACAAAACGCAGATGATATAAAAGATGCTTTCTGCAACCACAAATCATCAATCAATGTAAGCCAAAGTGGCAGAAAATATCACTTTTTTTAGTGCAGAACGTTTTTCTTTTTTTTTTTTCTTGAAATAGGTTAGCTGCATCTCTAAGCAAATCCCAAATATCCATTGGGGGGGGGGGGAATTCCATGAGTAGATAAAAAAATGCAGTTACATCAGCAAAAGCAAACCAAACATGTTGATCTTTGGCAATTAGAAAATGCACCAACAAAAAAGAACCTAGTTTGGATGTAAATGAGCCACAAAATTTTTCAATTATTAGAATATGTGAGAAAATGCACAGAAATCTAAACTGAATCTTCATCGTGATGAAAATGTCCCAATCATTGATCAATTAATGGTACTGAAAAGATTTCAGTTGCCAATTTAGTAGAACTTAACATATACAAGCCTCTATAAAATAAGAGAAAGTATTAGCATAAAAATGAAACATCTTTAACAACTTACATTGAAAGAGATGCTTAAAAAACATAATAAATGCTAACACAGAGCCCTTATTTTTTGGGTAAATTTGCATTTTAAAACTAAAAATGGTTTACTATCTTACATTCTATATAGTTAATTTTATAATTTCTACATATAATCATAATTAATTTAATTAAAGATCTAAAATCTGAAAAGGAAATCCCAGCGATTCCGGATCTTGGACTTTCTACTGCACATATTTTGAAATCAGAAAATTATGCATAATCTCACCAAGATTATGATTAATTTACTAATACTTATATTAATATAAAACAAAGAAATAAATATTTAATAAATTCCTAAAAATCTGTTATGAGAATTTATATACACAATAATTAATCAAGTACATGCAAACAAACTCAGTTATTTAGGTTAAAATAACTCAATTATATTGCAACATGTTAAGAGTAATAGTGAAAAAACTAATTTAGATAAAAACAGGGTACATAGCCATATTTTAGTTAAAAAAATAAGCACCTATAAGTACTTTTCAAGCACATTTTAAGGAAAAAATAAGCACCTGTCTAATTACATTATACACAACTGCATCATAACCTTAAAAGAAAAATTAGACTTGTAATTTAAAATATGAGCAATGCAATATTTATTAAGAGAATGAGCATTACCTCAACAATGGAAAACAATTAACTTTTTTTTTTAAATTTTAAATGACAGTTCAATTTACAGAATTAGTTTACAATGAGAGAAAAAAAAAAAAAACTATGCAGAACTAAACTATATTACAAAATTTAATGATGATATTTCAGTTGAAAATATAGAAAATAAATAATAATAAGCCATATTAATTGTATTCATGGCACCTAATAATAAATACAATTTATTTTCCCACTCATATTAATATTTAAATAATTTAACAGGTTGCTAATAAAATCTAAACAAATTCTTGAAATATGCAGAAACACCATTTTTAAAGGCTTTAATGTTATCCCCATGCATTTAGGTTTCAAACTATGTCTTAATGATTTTCTGTACGTAGTAAATTACGGATATCATTTTTCTAACTTTTAAACAAAAAATTAACAATAGCGAAGCATTTCATTATAAATTTAACATATTTTTACTGGAACATACATGCACGGAACAGCTTAGAAACACTTACGTTTCACTGCCATATTGTAATGTTTTGAAGTTACAAACACGGACGCCGCTTGTTCGGTGGAGTTTCATTTCCCAATAGTGGAGGAAACTGTGAACACTCCTTCCTTCTATTCTAACCTCCTTGCTGTAAACAGTAAAATTTGGCAGAGGTCGAATTATGATCTGGGAGTGTTTCTCCTGGTATGGGATGAACCCTCGGTTCAAATTCATGGTAAACTCAAGGTCGACGCCTAATGGACTATTTTGGACGACAGTGTTTCCTATGTTGTGACAACTTTGCAGGTTGGATTTATGTTATTTTCAGGATGACATCTCAAGCTGTCACGATGTGAGTGTCCATTCAGTTAACCCTATTGTCACCATGGTGGACTTCACATCGTGACAGCTTGAGATGTCATCCTGAAAATAACATAACCTGCAAAGTTGTCACAACATAGGAAACACACTGTCATCCTTCACAAAGCACAGACCTGAGTGTTATCAAACATCTCTAGGACGAGTTAGATTGGATGACAGTGTGTTTCCTATGTTGTGACAACTTTGCAGGTTATGTTATTTTCAGGATGACATCTCGAGCTGTCACGATGTGAAGTCCACCATGGTGACAATAGGGTTAACTGAATGGACTGACCTTCACAAAGCACAGACCTGAGTGTTATCAAACATCTCTAGGACGAGTTAGATTGGATGACAGTGTGTTTCCTATGTTGTGACAACTTTGCAGGTTATGTTATTTTCAGGATGACATCTCGAGCTGTCACGATGTGAAGTCCACGATGGTGACAATAGGGTTAACTGAATGGACTGACCTTCACAAAGCACAGACCTGAGTGTTATCAAACATCTCTAGGACGAGTTGATTACCGAATTAAGGGGTGCAACAACATCCAATACTGGTGAAGTAATCTAGTTGCCTTTTCCAAGCCAAGCAAAGAAAATACCAATAGCCGTCATCATACCTGCCAACCTCTAAAGATAAAAATTCAGAAGATTTCTCCCCGAAATTCAGAAGAACACGAAGAATTAATATCATGCTTTGATATTAAAAAATAACAATTTATACAAATAGAAAAAATAAAACTGTACTTACATTAGCAAATCTCAATTAAGTAGTAACTAAAAAATTTATTAGGAAACATAAAACAAGAATCAGAACTTAATGTTACATAAAAAAATTATTGCAATGAATTTAGAGTAAAATTTCCTGTCATAACAATTAGTTTCCTCATAACATTTTACAATTAAAATGTTTTCTAGAGTTTTTGGTGAAATTGAAGAACGAAACATAGTTTTGTTTTTCTTCACGACAAACACTCTGCCAAAATGACATTGGCATCCGAATTCGTAGTCGAATTTGAAAAAAAAAAAAAAAAAAAAAAAAAAAAAAAAAAAAAAAAAAATCATCCACTTTCTTTGACGTTGTCGAAGCCGAAGCATTAACTTCATGCTTTTTAAACTTAACATGCTTCACAATGTCGCTTCTTCCACCGTGACTTATTATAAAGTCACACACGCACACGTTGCAAAATGCATAGTTATTTCCTTTGAAGATTCTTTAATTGTTGGAAACTTGGCTTTGTAGGCAGGCCGAAAATATTGAGACTACGTATTTTTTTTTTTAACTCATTTCGTAACGACGACGTATTAAGAAAATTTGTAGCACGTGGGGGAGGGGGGGGAAAAACAAAATGCGATAATCCACGCTCGTTGAGTAATTCCCTTGCTGCTGAAGCGAACACGAAAAAAATAATCTGGCGGCCACAAAGAAAAGAGTGGGACAAACAAGTTCAGCACATTGGATTAGCTGGTTAAGCGGTGAGTTGGGAGAAACCGCAGGTTACTGGATTCGAAGTAGTCGGTAAAACACGATGCAATTGGCGAAAAATTCTAAAATTTCGACAAAAATCACTAAAAACACTTGAAAAAGGAAAAAAATCTTAAAAAATGAATTACGATCGTAAAATCGTAAATACAAACGCATTTTCGTAAAAATTACGAAAAATTCGTAAAAGTTGGCAGGTATGCGTCATACAAGGGCTTGCGAAAGGCATGTCCCAGAGGGTTGAGGCTGTAACTGCCGCTCGTGGAGGTTCTACCAACTACTGAATATGAATTTTTTTTCCCTATCACAGGTGTCTAAATACTTATTGATGGATAGTGTATTATACATTAATACTCCCCTTATTTCTTTACTTTTCATTACCATGCATTTAATTTTATTAATAATTATTTATAAACATCTATACTTATATTATTTTTTCTCTTAGTATTTGGACTTATCAGCGGCCAAGGAGATTGCTAAACACCAACAGTTTAATTTATTTTATAATCCTAGTGAATAAGGCTAGTTGTATGGTAATTTTTGCAAAGTTAACATGTACATGATCCAGCTTCTCTTCAGAAGTTCTCAAATAGGACATTCTTACCCTCAGGCTGATATCCCCTAAGTGCTTTGCGACAATCCAAGCAACCTAATCTATCAGTACTAACCTGCACGTAATTTAAAAAGTTTTCATTCACCTTTAATATCTGGTGATATACTTTATAATAGTGTTTTCAAAGAGGAATTATTAATTCAGACATTATTTTATAGATTTTCAGCTAATATTAAATTCGAGAATTCATGTAATTTATTACAAAATTATATAGTGTTTTACTTTTTCTACCACAATAACACTAATATAATTTCTTCTGTTCAAGCAGTTAAAATTATATATTAACTATTGCATATTTAATATAATTTTAATTACAGTTCAAAACTATTGCTTAAGGCTCACTGGCATTTTCTCTTGAAGTAGATTAGCAATGCTCTTCAGCTGATTAAGTAAAATTTCATACAAATTCTCTTTATTAAGAAAAGTATTCTGAGAATTACCAATAATTTCGAGGAACCAAAAAGCTAAGAAAATAAAACCATTATCTCTCTGTGTGTATATATATATGTTTCTTTGCATTCCTTCAAGGTGTAATACTTCCAGTCAAAACATTTGATTAAAATTCAATCTTTTAAGAAGCAAATGCTGTCTAAAGTTTACTGTGTAAAAAAACTTTTTGCAATAAAATGGAAAAGAAAATATATATTTATAAGAAAAATGAATAAATTCTACTACAAAATGCAAAACTTACGGGTACTAAGAAACGCTGTATTTCTGCAATGGCAGATGCCATTCTTCTATATGCCTCTGCAGGTGCTGCATATGCAGTTATTTCTACATGAAGATCTTCATGTAAATGAGAATATTTGGGATCACCTTGATTTCGAAGTTCCTCTTCCTTTAAAAATTGCATAGGAAAAAAATATTTTGATAACATTAATGAAAGCACGCATAAATAATTTAAATAGAAATGCACTGTATATTCAAGTCATATTTATCCTTTAATGCTGCAAAACTGATCATAAACACAAACCTTCTGTTTATCTCTCATAGAGCCACGGCCAAGAATAGCCATCTTTGTCTGTGTAGCTTCTTGCAACTGTTGCAATGAACTGCCTTTTGGCCCCAGTAATTTTCCAACAAAATTAAACTACAAAGAAAAATGTGGGGAAAAAAAAAAAAAAAAAAAAAAAAACATGGTGATTCAAATTTAATATCAAATTAGCAGAAATACATTAATTTTAGGTAATAAACTACTTACATAATATTGTTTTGTCAACCGTGAAAGTCGGAGGGAAATCCCACCAAAGTGGTTCCTATCGAAACTACAGAATTTTAAAGGAAGTGACACTTACTTAATACTTAATAAAGAATCACTATTCAACCCACCCAGTTTTTGAACTTTGTAAAAAGGATTTCACCAGTTTCTACTATTTTGCTAGATTCTCTGATTTTACCGACAGCTCTGTTTAGAACTCTGAATACAAACTTCCTACAAGTAAACCATTTTATTGGCAATACTGTATCGACATTCTTTATTCATTTTCAAATAAGGTACCATATTGTGTCCGTTAATGCACATTGCTTTTTGATAGTTGAATCTCATAACTTAAAAAAAAAAAAAAAAAAAAAAAAAAAAAAAAAACCCCCCACTGCTTGCAGTTCTGTAAAAAGCAGGTCTCAAATTTTAATACACATACATTTTTACCTATATCAGTGAAATATTTAGTTACATAGACTAAGCTATGTCAGTGAAAAATTTAGTTACTGAAATTTGTATTAAAATAAGGAACCTATCCATCATGGATGCTGTTAAATTCTACTTTCATGAAATTTCAGCACTCAATTATTACTTTTGCTTAATATGGTGCGACAGTAAAACTTCCGAAGCAAAGATATGCAATATAAATTTCTTGGCATAACAATGCATGCTGATGATGAGAGAAATTATTGTTTTAAGAAAATTACCAACACCTGCCATTGCTAGGGCAAATAGTATTAATCTTCAGTCAGTTAATGATATACTAAATATACTAAATGGAATAAAAAGAAGTACTAGGTACACTATTCGTCTCGAAACAAGCCAGATATATATTGACAATACGAATATTTAATTTTTGGTACTTTTCTGTTTTACGGACTGTAAAAAATTGCAGCAAAAATATATGCGCAAAAGTGCTAAATCTAGCGAACATGCCGAAGTGTGTAAATTTAGTTCTATATTTATAAGTCGTCAATGAAATACTAGTTTAATTTTTTATTTCTTTTCTAATAACGCTATGGATTTAACAATTTAGAAATTGCCCAATGACGAAAAGTCTGCAATAGAATATTTTCATAGAACAGACATCATTCATGATAGAAAATTACGTTCGAACAACCATGAGATGAAATTATGCTTTAGCGGTAACTCAATAGCGCAATGGCGGTGTAAGAAAGAAACCTGTAATGAGAAGAAAGAATTAAGAAGTCAAAATTGGTTCGAAGGATCAAAAATCCCCTTCCTTACAACTGTTAGGTTCATCTATTTTTGGTGTCAGGAGATGACATCTACTGAAATTCGTGAACTCCAGTTGAAGATGAACCACAATACAACTGCAGACTAGAACAATTACATGCGTGAGGTGTGTGCTGCAACTTTATTTTCTTGGCCTAACTTGCAAATCGGTGGATAGGGCAAAATTGATGAAGTAGATGAAAGACTTTTTCAGTAGAAGAAAGAATAACATTAGACGGGTTCTTCCGCCACAATGTGTTTTCGACAGATTATGCAGAGAATTGAATGAATGTTTCTTCTTAATCGCTGTTCGAGAACGATCGGCTAAAACTTTATTGAACGTCATAAAAGAAAATATCGCAGAAGGAAGCATTAATTATACTGACTGCTGGAAATCATACTGCAAAATGCTGGTTTTGAACATTTTACTGTCAATCACACCTACAATTCTGTGGACACGAAAGTGAGTGTCAAAGACAAACAGTAGAGAGGTTGTGGGGCAGTGCTAAATTGCGTAATAAAAGTCGCAGTGCTCAACAGCATTTCGATTATTGTTTGTTTGATTTTATGTACAGACGGTTGTACAAAAAAACTGAAATATTCTCTCTGGTATGTTAGAAGACATAAGAAAATTTATATCCCCCGTTTAATTAAATGAATTGAGACATATGAGTTGACACCAAGACAGAGATAGCAACATTATCATCAAATCCCTGCACCAACATCAAATAAACTAAATAGTTGCAAAAGTGATACGGCTTCCTTCGAATCAATTCCTTTCTTACCCTTGTTTGTTTTGTCAAAATATTTTCAATATATTGCACCACAAAATTCTACAACATATCTCCCTTGATGATGGATTATTTTATTGTACAGAAAATGGAACATTACTAACTATTCAGTAATTGTATCTGTTGACTATCTAAATGGTTTGCTTTTTTAAACTTCTGTCAGTATATGGCTGTACAAGTTTGGAAGGATCACCACCAACTTTCATGGCTAATGGGATTTTATAATCAGATATGACAGGAGTTCTCAAACTTTTCAAATTCTGTATCACATGAATATGAAACAAAACTAAATGTACCACTATAAAAGCATTTCGCCATTAAAAATCAATGCATCCTAAATGGAGTGTATATAATCAAAGAATAAAATCCTTTATATTATTTAATTATATTCGTAAATGAAACTTTTACATTACAATAAAATATAAATAAGTACATTACGAGTATATATATACACATATATACATGTAAGATATAATAAAATACAATGGCTGCTTTAAGAATAATCGGCGACCTCAAAATTAACTATTCTAGGTTTTATGTTCTCCCCTTTTAATTCATCCGTTCTCCCAAGATCTTTCCATTTTACATAACAACCTAAAATTAACAAATCCCGAATTAGTTATACTTGTGCATCATACTTGGTATAAATACTCTAGGCACAACAAAGCCATTCCTTTCCCCACCTTCCACAATGCAAAGAATTCTGCGCCACTTACGCTATCCTGTCCAAAATGCTTACATCGTACTTTTAAAAGCCATGTACATAGAATTATTGTGTTCTCACTATAATTAAAAAATATCTTGCCTGCAAAAGGATGATTCTTGATATGTGTAAAAATAAAGACTGACGATTTGTGAAAATTTAGTTTCGTCATCTTCGTCTGTATGCATTCAACCCTCAGCCATGAAATATCAAAAGCTGTTAAAAGTCCTAGTGTTTTCTTCGGCACATTAAATTATGACACATACATATATATAAAAATTGTGGTAAATAGTGAGTAATAATACATATATTAAGCAAATAATATAGCTGTACATAGCAAAGAGGACATCTGAGTCACAGGGCCAGCATTGACAAGATACGTTTAAAAAATATATACATTCTGTGTTTTTGACATTTTTGATATTACAAGGTTTGAAAACTTTGTGAACGATATAAAATTTAGCCAGTTTTCTTGGAAAAGTTGACATTTCAACATTAAAGCTAGAGGCACAAAAGTAAAAAAACTTGAAAAATACGAGTTTCTGAATAACAAAGATTAAAACAAAATGTTGTAAGGGGCGTAATTTTACAATCATTTTGAACATTCATTTAATTTTTTTCCTGTAAAAATAGTACCACTAAAAGTATTGTAAGGTATCCACCGTTTGAGAAACGACAAGATATGATGTTCGGCCTATGAAAACACATCTAAAATTACTTTCTGATAATAATTAAAGTGATTGTTCTAACAAATTTAGAAATGGAAATTTTTTCTTCCACTCACTTTTATACAAGTACTGATTTTTTTTAAACATGCTCAACTTTGAAATGTTTATATATTCAGTAGTTGACACTTCACAAAGTTTCTAAGTAGTTACTTCGGTGGTACTTGCATATTATTATATCGCTCATAAAATTTCGGCAAACAGCATGATTCAGCACCAATTATGGAATGGCATGATGTCGCAATACATGCTAAACATCTACACCTTCTTTTGATGTAACCTCCACTGGTTTTTGGTAAACTATCTTTTCTTTTCATAAATTAATTATTGCTGCATTTTTTCCTTGCCCCCATTTTGAAAGAAGAAAAAAAAAAAAAAAAAAAAAGGGGGGGGGCAGGCTTTAGTGTAGAATTAGGTGCCCCTTCGATTACATACTTTTTTCTCTTTTTTTTATTTTGGCCATGAAACCTCATTTTGGTTACCATGATAGTTTTAACTTTGTTTTAGCTTCTTGATTTTTTTTTAAATGAAAATAGACTGATGTCTACATGAACAAATTTAAGGCAGTGCACAATGCCTAGTTTGTGCAATTCTGGGATTTTTTTTAAGTGAAAACAGATTGATGTGTACATGGACACAGAGTTTGTGCAATTCTTTGATTTCTTATCTTGGTTTTGTGCAGTGGCCATCTTGAAATAGTGTCTTCCTGGCGCCGATCTTGGCGTCAAAAAAGAATCGCCAAAAAACAAGGGGCACCCAATTGTAAACTTTTACCGAAACAAATTATCAAAACTTGAGACCCGACTTCTGTAGAATAGCAAGTAGTGAATTATTTTCAGAGTTATATCATTTCATCATTAAAATAAAAGCTTGCATTAACAATACGTTCAGCTGAAAATAGCCGACAGAGCTTTCAGTGAACTCGGAGAGTTAACAAAATACTAGAAATTGACAAAATCCTTTTTTATGAAGCTGATCAAACACTGATTAATTATTTAAGTAGTCACCTTAAAAATTCTGCAGGAACAACTAGTGCAACTTTGGCGGGATCTCTGCCAACTTTCATGGTTTAATGCTCGCAAGCATTCATGGCACACAGAATAATATGTAAGTACCAGTTGAGCTTTTACAATATTCTAAGAGTAATATTTTTTATAAAACATGCAATCCTTACATTTGGGTGTTCATCAACTGGAATGTGAACCTTGACTCTTAAGCGAAACTGCTTGCCAGAATGCACTTCAACGTGACTTTTCTTTTGTGCTTCATCTGAGTCTGGATTGCGAAGACGATCAATTTCTAAAAATAAAAAAAAACGTAATAATTTTCAACTATTTTTAAATACAGAAATGGAAAAAAATTTAATCTTTAATCTAGTTAATGATGGAAAATAGACATTAAAAAAAATAAAAAATAAAAAAAAAGCAGAATAGATCAGAATAAATGCAGCAGCAGTAGCAATGCTAATTTGTCAATTTTGATCATAATTAAGTGAAACAACTATGTAAGATATTTTCAATGAATTTTCTAAGAAAAACTGTCTGTTACAATGTTACATTTTAGAAATGTCTATCAGGGTGTGACGAGAACTGTTTTTTTATGGCAGATTTTTTGGTTTTCAAAAATGTTTTAACAAAACATACTGTTCATAAAAATCAACTCTTGAATGTTGTTCCACTGAATGTAATAACACTGTAAGTTGACTCTTAACACTTGGCATGCGGTTATACTTCGCTGCGAACTTACGCATGCAGCGGGCGTTTTTTTGTGAATCGCGCGAAAGTATGGTTATTCAGGAAAATCACAGTAAATCAAAAACTACTTCGTTTTCATAAACAAAACTTTTTTTTTATTTTACACTTAAATATATACTGTATGATTATTTAACCAAAAACAATATTTTTACGAAATTACAAAAATAAACAATTTTTAAAATTTTACAATGTATTCAAAAATATTTTTTCATAACAAGTACAAATAGAACTGATAACACGTTAATAGTTCTTTACAGTATGGTACCATTCAAAGCATTTTCCTCTATGAAGAGGAACATGGCAGAAGCTACATATGAAACCTGTTTCACTTCGCACTTTTTTGACTGCGTACATGCGACATTGTCTTTGTGGATTTTTCTTTTTTCCGGCACCAACAATTTTCTCCAATACGTGTTTGCACATATCCATGGACAATCTTCCTAGAAGGGTTGTGTTTTGATATCATTTGCGCTGGTTCTTCAGTGCTGATTTCAGGAAGTTCATCAGTAACCCAATGCCGTGCAAATTTCTTGTATTTTATGTTTTTGCGTCTTTGTCGAATTGTATACTACATATGCATTGAAAAATGCACAATTCATCATATACATAGCTAAGCACTTTGTTCACTGTTTTACGCAAAATACTATACTAGGACAAATACTGATCGGCCCGATCTACACCTTTCAGAGTGCCCTACTTGTTGTATTCGATCAAAGCATTTGGCTTTATAATTTTTTTGTCTCTTGATATGATCAACATTACTACTTTCTTTCTTGGATTGCCAAACTTGTACCAATATATCATTTTTTCTTCGAAAGATTGTTTCTCCTTTTTTCAAGTTAGTTTTTTTCAGGCACTCTGGAAGACCTCTATTCTTCCTAACTGTTCCGTAAATTCATATATATATATATATATTTGTAAAAGGGCTTCCGTGTTATTGACGCTGTTGTAGTAATTGTCCATGTACAAATGGTGCCAGACACCAGTATATGGAGAAACTACTGTGAGTATCGTTTCAAACAAACGTAATCCTTGAGCTGCATAAACTTCAAAATTGCAAATATAACCAGTGTCACTTTCAGACAATATTCGTATGCCGCATTTTATAATTTTTCCAGCGTTGTAAACTCTAAAAAACAATCTTCCTCTCCAAGGTATTATGCCCGATACTTGTTGTTTCGGTTTGTAAATGTTATTGAATTTTTCAACAAAATAATTTAGTTTATGCCTAACTTTGAATAATCGATCAGAATCGTCCGTGATGTCTTCATTGTTATTGAAATGCCAAGCCTTCCATATTTGGCAAAATCTATCCCTTGACACAGTTTTTGGGGAAAAAAAAAAAAAACTTGAGGAGAGAAAAAAAAAAAAAACTGTGTACTTGTACAGACATCAGTTGACCAATAATCGTCTCGGGCGTTTTTATGAACTTGTTCCATGAAAATAAAAAGCCCCCAAAATTTCTTCATCTCCGGAATCGTAATATCTCTCCATTTCCTGCTTTTAGAAGATATTTTGAACTGATTCATATTTTGAGAATAATACCTGTTTGACTCCGCGACTAAATATGCAAAAAAGTCATCGCCTATAAATAACTTTACTGCATCATCTGTGGATTCAGGAACATTAGCCATGTTAGTTATCCCAGGATGACCCCAAAACTCTTCAAGGTCTGAAGGATTGTCAATCGATGACCATTCATCTGCTTCTTCATCAGAAGTTGTTTCAGAACTTAGTAGAAATTCTTCTTATTACACTCGAGAACGTGGAATAATTTCATCATCGTCACTTTCTTCGATATCTTGACTTTCAGAATCACTATTATACGAAAAGTCCGATAATCTGTCAGCGCATATTTCTTCATCACTATCTTTGTCACAATGGTTCATTTTATCAATTTATTTAATCAATAATAAAAAACCAAGCTTCAAATTGACAAAACACGACTTGTACGTTCTGGAGCGAAGAATTCGATTGAAGACGAAATAACTCAACAAAAGACCAAGTAACTCGGCCAATCGTAACTTGTTGAAAGAAAAAATGCAAAGCGTTGCTTAGCAACGCAAACACCACCCATATATAATGTCTAGATTTGTGGTGGTTAGCGGGTATCCACCACAAATCTACTAAATACGTATTTTTACGTGGCCCGCGCTCTAATGAGAGACCACAAAAATACGTTGCCCGCATGCCATACGTATTTTTACGTGACCTGCGATCCAGCGACAGATTGCAAAAAATGTAAAAATACGTAGCCCTTATGCCAAGTGTTAACCTTCCCACACGTGCACATCGTATTTTTTTACATCTATTATTTCAGTTAGGGGCATGAAAAACAACAGAAATGGGTGAATATTCATAATAATTTTTTAAAGAAATAAAATATTAACCTTATTATTGCAAAATACAAATTATGTCACATTCAAATGAAAGTAAATTACCTTTGAATACTTATATTAGTCAGGTTGAAAGGCAATGATGTATTTCATTATAAAATTTTTTAATTTATTCTTCAATAACCATATTTTAAAATCCGAGCTATTTTTAATATTCATCTGTCCTGTATTGTTGATTTATCACATAATGGAAGATAACTTGTCAAAAATAAAAATCTCAGCTCATCACAGCTCGTTATTTCAGTTCCAGTGCCATTACTTGAGGTTAATTCTCTTACATTTACACTCTGTCCTTTTTTTTATTCGTATCATATATAACAATTCAAAGTATGCCATCATTTTCACTCTTGAGGTAGCAATTCAGTTGCTGTCTTTTTAGTATTCACCTTTTAGCAAACATATACAGTCAAAAGTCGTTAATTCCGACACCCATAATCTGGAATGATCTATAATCCGGACCTCAAAGCTAAAAACCTTCTGCGCATGCGCCGCGTTGGCACATGCGCTTTACGCGCGTGCGTAAGACCTTGACTACTGCGCATATGCGTGAGCGCAAGTGCAGAATATGTTTTCGCCTGTGCGTTTAATGTAACACGGACGGTGTAAGCTAAAGTTATCTAATTCAGTTAATGTTAATGATTGCGTTGTTCCTTAATCTTCGAATTGGATCCCGCTTATTATTTTTTGCAGACTGTAAGAGCAATTTTATAAAATTAAACCTGAACTTTTGATTATGTCAAATAGAATTTCCGATGGGAACTTCCAACGATCTACAAAACGAAGATGTTTCGAGCCCAACAAACAAAAAGGAATTGCTGCAAAAAATGGATAAAGACATGAAGAATGTGACACAGAGGTTAGTGAATACGAAAAAATTTTGATTGACAAGTTAGTCGGTTATTCTTGGCACAGCAATTAACGGGACTTGACCAGCGAAACTTTGTAACCGAACAAAAAATTATGTCTGTTTATAGAATTAAAGAGAAAGTTTATCACATAAAACGAAGCAACTTAACAACTTACATTGAAAGAAATGATTAATAACAACAAATAAATATAACTTTTTTTTGGTAAATTTTGATACCCTTTAGATCATAATTGTTCTTTATTTCATAAATTACAGTTTCATAGTTTTAATTTTAGAATTTCTGCGTGCCATCTTACGAGATTTAAACTGATGATCTACGAGGGCTATCCAGAAAGTAGATTACGTTTTGGAATAAAAAAATAAACAAAGTATAGGAAACAAATTTTATTATATACAGATGAAAGCCACACTCAAATACTACTTTTCTACATAGTCACCATACAAATTAAGGCATTTATCGTAGCGATGTACGAGCTTGGAAATTCCTTCGTCGAAAAATTCGGCCGCCTGCGCCTTCAACCACTTCGTTACCTCTTCTTGCCTTCCATCTTGCACAAAACTTGTGGTAACCAAGCTTTTCGCTGATGATTTCGTGCAACAAACTTCGCGAAATTTGTGGAAAACTCAAAGAAAGTTCCGTTATTGTGAAATTTCGATTTTCACGGACTTTAGCATCGACTTTTTCGAGAAGTTCGGCGGTCACTATGCTGGGTCTCCCACTTCGATCTTCGTCGTGAACATTGGTTCGGCCATTTTGAAATCTTATGACCCACTTGACGCACTCCACCTTCAGTGATAATGTTGTCCCCATACACTTCACGAAGCTGCCGATAGATTTCTATCGGTTTACAGTTTTTTGCAGTCAGAAACCTTATTACTGAGCGCACCTCGCGGGATTTTCAATTAACGCAGACATTTCAAACCGTCACAGTATCTGAACGGAGCACAGCACGAACCTCTCACTAGTACGGCTAGATGCAGACTGAGCTGCGCAACGCTCTGACCCCAAGATGGCCGCGCTAGCCCCGCCCCTAGCGGACGCAGACGGAAACGTAATCTACTTCCTGGATGGCCCTCGTATAATCCGGAAAAGTCCCGACGAGTCCGGATTAAAGACTTTTGACTGTATTTATTTGTACATTTCAAAGATTCATCTAACATATTTATATCAATTATTTTCAAAAATTATTCTATTTCATTCTCTGTATCCTTGGAATGCTGTTTTAGGCCAGGTAAGACTTCCACAACATTCATGTTATTTGACTTTATTTCAAATTTTTT